GGTAGCCAGAATATGCGCGACGATTTTCTGTTGGCTTATGCAAATTTTATGTGCGGCTGCACCTCATGTTACGTATGTATATTTCCGTCGTTGCAGCATTTCCCGCTAATACGTTGACGCATCTCCATAAAAATGTAGCCTTCTCGTCAAGATAAAATTTTTCCAGAAAATAACGAAGCGCCATCGCATATACATAAGAGCGAGCGTCGCGACGCTTTTACGTAACGTCACGATCGTGAAAAGGGGAATTAGACTTTTCCTCAATTTACCATTTTCCGTATTACCCTCGTTTCTATTGTTTGCCTAATCTGAGTATTTTTTAGTCTGAGATCAACCGAACAAAGCGGCACGATCGAGGAGCTTACAGTCACTCGTGGGAATTGCACCAGGAGTGTTGGTGCAAAAAATAAAAAAATAATGAAGGTAAAAAACAATGAACGAAGGAAACGGATCTTCACAATGCAACGAATCCAGCACGCACCCTTCCGGTCAGGTTTTCGCGAAACGCCGTGAAAAGCTCGCGCGGCTTAAATCACGTTGAAATATTTTATGCAACCCGCCCATGGATAATGCCCGAACAACGTCCCCGTCCTGTTCAAGGACTCCTGCACTTGTACACGTAGGTATATGATAGCGTATATCCGGTGATTTATGATACCACTATCTGATTTGACCACGCGTTATTCAGGGCATTATCGGCATCCTGGTAACGTGACCTCGACTACTGAAATTTGGTTTGTTGGAAATAAAATTTGTAATGCGTATCTTTCCCTGGATAGAACGGGCTTTGATGGAGTATAAAAAAAAGAAATTTCACGAACGATCCTTCCTTCATAACTTAACAGAGAATTTCATTGGGAATTCTATTAATGCACATCCGCCTCCGCTGCAGATCCCTAGTATCTACTGATGCTCGCATTATAATAATCATTAGTGGAAATTCATTTGGTGGAAGCATATGCGTAATGGAATCCGGAAGGGACGTAATATGCGAGCCAACTATGAAAATGATATACCTGGTGTGTAACTGTAAATGAATAATCATTATTTGACTTCCTACGGTGCATTAGCATGACAAAAAAAAAATAGAAGAGCGTAAACCGATCATGACGAAAGGAAAAAAAGTAAAAGCTAGTCAGTGATTCCGGATGTGCGGGACGAGCCTTGAATTTATTCTAGACATTCACTAGGGTGAATATCGGTAATTGTATGAGAACAGCCGGAATCCCAGGAAGGGGAACAATGGACTTCAATTATTTTCATGAACCCATCGATCGGGATCTTCGCTCTCTGACGAACGGGATGTTCCGAACCTCAAGCGCTTCCTCCTGCCTTCAAATTTCATTTCCACGATGGCTCTCACTTTGTCCCGGAATTCAATTTACATGCGTTCGTTTTGGCGACAAGTGTGCCGCGATGAATTTGCAAGATAATCGAGGCTGCTGAATTTATTTTTTTAATATTTTTTTTATCTTATTTCCGTAAACGCGCCCATGCGTAAGTCCACGTGAAAACGTATCTGGCGTTTATTGCCGTCGACGCGAAGGAACCTACGGCGCTCGATAATCCTGCGAGGACGACGCTGCTGCCCCTTTGCGTCGGCGAAGCTGATCGTGGCGAAATTACATTGCGCATAGCGGGGTGCGAGATTTGCATTTTAAATTTCGTTACGTTTGTTCGGCGAGGAGAGCGAAGAAGCGCGAGAGGAGACACAGTGAAATAAATAGAAGGGATACCTACTGCGGACAGAAAGACTGACGCGCGGCAGTAGGCCAGATTAAGCGGAGGAGGCGACCAGCCCCCGGAGGACGCAGATTTAATAACGGCGTTATTTAAGATTTAAATATGAATTTATGTTACTTTTGTAGGGTTAATTGAGGTTTGGATGGAGTCCCATTTATTCCACTTCGAGCGTCGTCAGCCAGCCATTGCCGAACCCATTCGCCTGAGTAAACTTCGTCTTAAACGTCATAATTTCATTAGTCGGATTTACCAGCACGCGGCAAATACATTATACAATTACCTTCTTTTTTTATTCAAGAAAAGGAAAAATCAAGACAGTCTTTCTAAAGCACTCCCTTCAATGTCAGACCATCCCTACAGCTTATATTTACGTTTCCTTTTTTGCACTTTCCTACCGTAAACTAGGTTAAGTTTCGATATGCGCCCTTTTCAACATTCTAATTGCATTTTTGCGGGTTTTTTTTCAATTGGGCATTTGACGTGTTACATTGAGGTTAAGCATGGTCTACGTACATATGTTTGTATACAGGGTTATTCATGACAAACGGACCGGCTAAAGTTGGACGCGATTGAACGATTCTGCCAATCGTAGCAGTGCGAACTTCTTAAACAAATGAAACAATGTGAAAGTCATGATTTTAGCAATTTTATAACGTTAGCTTTTATTTCTTTGATAATGCCGACCTGCGCTGATTCATGAAATCATCCGTTCACGGCCAATTTCACCTGGTGCGTTTGCCGTGAATAACCCTGTATATGCATCCCATGTTCTCAATGAGAGCCAACTCACGTCCTCTTGTCCGAAACCGTAATCACAGTCATGAAACTAAATTGAATTTATTTTCCATCTTTCAAAGTCTAGTACTCGGTGAGCATTCATATCGCGGGCATAAACTTTAATTTCAGTATGTAAATTACGGATGCGGTTACTCCATTACCGTAAAGCGGTACGAGCGTTAAATAAATCCGTAAAAAGAACGCAGAATTGCAAGTAGAAACTGGCGCTCATCCTCGAATGTTAAGAGTAGGTATGCATAAAAAAAATGTCAAAAAGTATCAGAGAGAAAAAGAAGATAGAAAAATCCATAAAAGTTTCTTCGTTAGAAAATTGTATTAAGCAGCCATTCACACCGGCCAACACGAATGCAAACATTTTATTGGTTTTCATCCAACGACGAAGAAAAAGTCCAACAAGTTTTTCTCTAGTTCAAATTTCGCGCGTCTCGATTCAAGGACAAATAATCCCGTGCCAGGAAATGCAAATTTCAAATCCTATATAAAAATTCCTACGGGTCAAGTATTTACCTACATGCAGCTACACATGCTAGGATCTACGTATGGCTTTGGTGCATGAGCAATTCTTATTGTTGTCGTTGAAAACCAGCTCCACGGGCGCGATTTCTTATTCCTTCAATTTCCTCGAGATGAAAAGAAAAGGAGAAAATTACGACGGAAGAGCCGAATGGCGAGTTAATAAAAGGCCATGGATCGTTTACTCCGGGAAATGGATCGATCGTGCCTCGAGTAAAGATACGTTCGATTGAAATAAAGTAGGTTGGCGCACAAGCAATAGCCTGTACAGGTATATATAGCATACGTACAACGTAGTATAGATACTTATAGTATACTATACTACAATACTTTTCTGTTTCTTAGTATTTCGGTAGTGGCGCACCACGAAAAGAAGAATGGTTTCTGCCGCCGGCAACACGGTTACGTCGAGGCCACCGAAGTGGATATAGATTCGCCTTAAATTATTGTTTACCCCGTCGCGTACCGTAGTGGCAATTTTCTTCTTTCTTAACTCTTGAAAAGTTCGCCTTAATCGACGCGGTTGCACGCTCAGTGAGAATTTAAGGCTGTACGGTTTCCTCCGCAACGGCAATCCAATTATCGAACCACTTAGATCAGTGTGTACGTATACAGATATATGGTGTATGAATAAACTTTGAAAATTTCATCCGCATCAAGCTGCGAAAATACATGCCATTGAAGTTGAATATAACGACCGCGGATGAAGTGGCAAATATTTGCGAACAATTCGCGAACTCCATTTACTACACGTAATGGCAGCTACCTACGTACTATAAGTATATGTATACATACACATTCGTACTTTGGCTAGACAGTCTTTGCGCGAAAGCAATGATGCGCGCTGAGGTATAATAAAAAGAGTAAATAGAGAGAAAAATATTCAAAGTCAAAGAAATTGCAGGAAGAGAGAGACAGATAGAGAGAGAGAGAGAGAGAGAGAGAGAGTAGCGAACGTCGCATAAGGGTTCGTTCACATTGAACTTTTTTGTCAATGCACCGCGCTATTGGCAAAGGAAGCAAATATGTGAAAGGGCAATTTAATGAAATTTGTGTATGCACTATCGCACCTAAAGGTCTCCTCGACCCAGTGCATATAACTAATAAATCTTCGGAAACGAAATTTTCGCGGTGAGAAGGTAGCCTAATATCTAGCACTCGGCACCCACATGTACTTACGTGTAAAGTTACCTATACTCCATGTATCGCCGTATACAAGGGTAATGCATGATGCACGTGCAGACTGGCAAATCGAACGTCAGACTCGTGTATTGACCCGTGAAACGGAAGTGTTGCATCTCTTTGACGCAAAAGCCGAGAGAGACGTGTCGTCGTCTTGCGATTCGACGAAGCACGAAGAAACGGCGGTTCCGTCGTCAATTGCTCCCTCGAAATGTCACATGAAAAATGAAAACGCGAGGGAATAGTTCGTTCCGTTCTCATGAGTGACTTTATCGTTGCGCGTGCGAAATATATCATCTGTAAATGCTAAGCAGCGTTCCTCGTGCCCGCAAAGAATGGCATGGCCTATGGCCTATGGGCAAAATTTCATTAGGGCGCGTTTTCACGATATCTCGGAACATTTTACTTGAGCTGTTAATAATTTGATTCGGAGCCCCTATTTTTTCACGATTTCCACCAATCATAGTTTCGATCTTAAATAATACGATAATATAGACAGGTACATGACAGACCCATCCTCAGATAATGCAACAGTCTCGAATAACCCTGTACACCCCTATTTCCCTCTTTCCCATGGTAAAGCATCCAAGTTCAACCCTTGGTCCTTAATTCTTTCAGGGGAGTCATGGAATTTGAAATTTGATCGGACACCCTTCAGAGCGGATTATTATCAAGCTGCTAAGATTTTCATCTTAAGACTTGCCTTTTCGCTAAAGCCGTAAGGAAGCCTTCGTATAAATTGATCTTGGTATAACGCTTTGCAGTTTTACGTCAGCCTAGGAATCCTCCTTCTGATTCATGGAGGTAGAGCAAGTGATACGACGCCCTCGGCGTCGGCCACTCTTGGGACGCTCTATCGTCAGGCACGATCTGATCAGTACTACATGAGCAGATACGGAAGTGACAATACCCCGTTGAGTTCCGGTACCATCAACGTCAGAGCGGATCCCGTGGAACATCGGGATGCTGCGTACTACGAGTCGCGCTGCATCACCTGCGACCCCAACAAATCTACTGGCACCGATCGGGGGTGAGTTGTCGTTCCGACCCTTGAGTTTTTCAGACACGCGCGAGCCCAGGGCGAATTCGTTCGTTATTGCAAAAGTTCATGGAGAAAAGTTCGCACGGAAAAGAATTTCTGGTGACCCACCCTCTACAATAATGGAATAACACGTGCGACCGCTCCGTGACGTTAGATTAGAGAAATCCCATAAGTTCCATTTGAGTAATTATCCTGGATTTAGACGGGATATATACGTTGTAGCTTGTCAAATCGTTCGTATCCGGTGTTTCGAACTTACTCACCCTGTGGAATTAATTTATTAGCGCCTACGTATCCGGTTCGAAGTACAGACCGAGGTACGACTGGTACGATGATGATCTGGAGGATCGAAGATACCGTGACCGATACGACGACTACGACCGATCCAGGGGACCTGGGTACGACTACGATCGTTATGATCAGTATGGACGATACGATTTATTGAGGCCCTTGTACTATGGCGATCGGTATCCGTTAAATTCATCATTTAGTATTATTTTCTTTTCTTACGTTTCTTCACCAATTTTATTTTTTGTGCACTGATTTTTTTTTAATACGATTTTCTGTATTTTTTTAATTTGAAAAAATAGTTGGCGTATTTAATGATTCTAATTTTCAAAATATTCTGATACTTGCACGTCATTTTATTCCTGCGCGATTTTTTGTATGTTTAATGTTGACGTAGTTATTATTCTTTCTCAGGTATGATCGTTATGATCGGTATGATCGAGATCGGTATGATCGGGATCGGTACTTTGATAGAAATTATGACAGGGGTTACGATCGATACAGCGATCGTGGCAATGGCTATGATAATTTGGACTCTCGTTTTCCATACGATCGTTATGATCGTTACAATCGGCGACCCTATGACGACCCTTACAGCAGATACGATCGGATCAATAGTTACGGCGGTGGCAAGTACGACAGGTACGAGCCGTCCGAAAAGCATTATTGGAGGAGACCTTCCGAAGATCGATATGGGTATGATCGGTATGGTGGAAGAGGAACCGGAAGCGACGGAAGAGGATATTACTCTGGAGGCACCTGGGGACCGGGATACGACAGAGGATACGCCAGTGCGTGGAATTACGGCGGAAATCGAAATAACTGGAGGGACGTGAACAGAGATCGTGATGTAGGGTGAGTTATTGGTTTTTATTAAAAATTTCAAAAATTCATTAGCATTCCCTTTCTTTTAATTACCTCGTACAACGCGATTGCAAATTATTGTAACGTATAAAGGGATACGGAAAAATGGCATTGTTCGCCCACCAAGGGGCCATAGAAATTAATTTGTAATAAAATCCCTTCGGTGATGTTACTTGTTACCAGGGAGAAAAACGAAGCTTTATTTTCCCATAAAATACAAATCGAGAATTGATTTTCCGGAATCCTACGAAGCACGTAATTGAACCCTTTTTCGAAACGACCTGCTTCGAATCCGCAAGTGATTTGTTACTTCTCGATTGACTTCGCATTAAAAGAGAAATGAAAGATCCCTTGCACCCTGGAATATTTACAGAAATAAATAGTAAAAAAAAAAGGACCTCACAGCATCCACCCAGTTTCATAGGTAAGAATAATTGGAAATGAGAAGAAAAAAATTTAATAACATTTTGCTTAATTGACGGTTCGCAAGGATTCTTTCCGGAATGTAAAACGACCCATCCTCTCTAATTGCAATTTATTGGCAGTAATTTAACGAACGCTCCGAATACAAAGGCAAAGGGTCGAACTGCGGTCGCATCGTTACTTGATTCTAAGAATAATTATTACGCTCCAAGAAGTAAATCATTAATAAAGTTCAAGAGTGTCCGTGGCCACCTTAATAGAATTCCGATAAGGCTAAAAGATTGCCAAGTTTCTTCAGGCATAAAAGAGATTCGTGGCTTCTCTTATTTTTTGTAATTTTTTTCCATTTCAGGTATTATCGGCCCCGAGATTATTTCTATGACAGTACTGCTGCACCGGGTGGCATAAGAGGTACGAGTTATCTTCACGAACGGCCTGAATCCTCGACAAAACCGAACACGAATGATCAAGACAAAGCGACGAGTTCGCCGCAGTCTCAGGACAACAAAGTATACAAAGACTAGAAGCATGATAAGAGCATTGCTAATAAGATCGTGATACGAAGATGGTCTTCGATTAATTTATGGAGGACTCGATCAAGGGAAGGAAATGTAAAGAATCCAATATAATCCTATTCTTACTTAAAAGGCATTGATCGTTCATTAACGCCTTTTATGTAACGTCGTTGGGCATCATTAATTTTGCACAAGTTGAAAATATCCTTTCGACAATATAATACAAAAATTAATTAAAATTTTTTTAATAAATTCTCTTTTTTTTTTAATCTGAATAAATTCCTGTCTAAAGGCTTTAAATTAAGAGCAGCACCCTCGTAGTTAGTAATCTAGTATCTTAAGTGTTCACAATGTCGAATGGTGTGCATCAAATAATACCTTTAATCAAATTCAATACAGTGCCTGGAATCGAACGTTTAAATGATAAAAATAATCAAAGTGTGAAATAAGGCAGCGACTCAATCAAGACTAATGATAACGACCCAACATTTACTGCATAACTATACCGACATAGTTAGTAACTTATTCTGTCCATCGCATCCAGCAAGACTTACTTCTTGCCTATCGTTAACATTTATTTAACTACTTTCATAAAAGAACAAAGAAAAATAGAACAGCGAATAAAAGCTATCGACAAAAGATTCATAAAGGATTTACAATATCATTTCCACCGATAAGTTTTCGCAATAAGCTTCGCAATGAAAATCCCAGAAATTTCGAAGAAACTACCCAAAGTTGCATCCACCGGCAAACGGCAAGTACGATTTCCAGTCATGACCGAAGTTCGATTTTTAATCAAACCCGAACAGCCGGTCGCTGAGTCCGCCGTGGAAGAAACAGTTGAAATTAATCGCGATACGCCAACTGATCGCTGAGCCAACTTACTCCGACTGCTCAAGTTTTACACCGCAGTAGAATTTATGTTTCGAGTTTAGCAACTATTGTATATCGATTCACTTAGCCCACGACACTGCGGCTACCTTCAAGCATCCCCTCGCCGCCCTCTATTTCTCGAGCTGCTAGATCCAGGTTTTGCGGCTATCTCGCTACTACCCAAACTTCTCGAACTTACCCGAATTTCCCTACACTTTAATGAAAGGTTGCTATCAGGACCCAAATATCGTGTCTGTGTCTATAGTCAAGTTTCAGGCACGAGCCTTCGGTAATTATAAAGAAATTTTACATTTATCACACGTTAAAACACAAAAACGAAAAAGAATCTGCAAAGTCAAATGGAATCTAAAAGATTGCAATAGTTATATTGCGTATATCTATGTGTATATATATAGTATATATACTTTGAGAGAAACCTTGAATTAAAGATACGTATCTTCATAGAAATGGAAAAATTACATGAAACATATGTACAATGTGTTTCCTGATACCACGTGGGAAAATATAACCTATTGTGTACTTTTTTCATTCCTATATACGTAATACCATCTTGAGTATTGAACACGTGTAAACATAGACGTTAACATCGATTTCCCATTGTGCAACGGCAAAGAAAAGACGCACCTGTATTATATACCGGGTACGCTCATTGTCAGTAGAGATCCCAGTTGCAGAAACCGTTGAAACATTAGGACGTTGAGTGCATTGAGAAATGTCGTGATCAAAATTCATAGCGACATCTCAAGCTTCAGATATTCCTTTGATCTAACAATAAGATGCGGCGCCAGACCCGCAGCGTTCTCTACTACAGATCTTCACGACGTGACGAGCGTTATGCAAATATCCCACATCGTATACATACACCTCTGCACATATGTACGTGCAATGCGGTACGTTGCATTATTAAACCATCTTCCAGGAGCATAAAGAGGAGATTTAAACAGAATCCGAATGACTCTCTCGACACGGAACATTATTTGCATCTTGCCCAGTGGTTACTGAAATTTCCCCACAATTTTTGTTAATTCGTTTTGTAAAATACGACTGTGATATAAATGTAAGTAGAAATCGATATGATGACGAAGGTGCAGTTACGTAATAACGTGGAATTTTTCGTTCGCATATTCAATATAGATATAGCATTCTGATACACGTTGCAACGTTATGCAAAAAAAAACATACTTTTATTTAAATTACATAAATAATTTTAAAGCCGGCAAAACGACTCTCAGTGGCCATCGAAAGTCGATAGATCACGAAAGTTCTCTCTCTCTCTCGGGCTGGGCGCCAGGTATCTCTCGCGGAAATACCACGAGTGCAACGCACTCTCTTTGTCACTAGTTAAGTTATCTAATTCGAAAAAGGTCTATTTACACTAAAAACTGAACATTAATATAACGTAATCGGGAACCGCGCCAACAACCTAAGACCAAAAGATTAATTCTTCAAAAAGATCACCGAAAATCGCATAACCAAATGCAGCAAGAGACATACGGCCGGTCCGTAAGATGTTCGTTAACGCGGAAGATGACAGAGAGTCGCTAAAGAATAGTAACACCAAATGCCCTACAAGGTGACTAGCTAGTCGGAAGCGTCGTGACGTTCAGGTGGAAACAGAGAAGGTTAAAGCGCTTTACGGGTCCTTGCTAAAGTACGCACGGCGACGCTAGCGCGGTTGACGGCGACGCGTGAACTGCGATCTCGGATACTTCGTTGACGCGGGAGTAGCGTGTATCGCGGAGAGCGACGAGGCCCTAGCCGCGCTCACGGCACAGGGCCGTGCCTAGCAATTATGATATCGCACCTTCGACTGAACATTCCGATTTCTTTCTACTTTACAAAAGGCTGCAGAATAAATATGACTCATCACAGACATCCCTAAGACAATTTTTCAGACGTTAACAAACCTATTCACGCGAACACGAATGAGTCAATCGCGGCGAGTGGGAATGCAAAAATAAAAAAGACAAGCAGGCGACAGATATGATAAAAAATAAATAACACCATGAAACTAAATTAATTGCGAGAGTATTAAATATAAGAAATATCACTACTATGAGAAACAATGACCGCTAAAGGAATATTGTGTGGTGAGGATCATAGCCAAAACACGAAGTTGATCGAAGCTGTCAGCAGCACGTTCGGGAATCTTCAGGTGTGGCAGATAGATGTCTTCGTCCGATCCTGGGTAGATGGGAGGTTGGAGTGGCGGAGGGTCGTGACTCCACGGCCTAGGGTAGCTGCCTGAGCTCCCTCTTCCGTACGGATGCCGTTAACCGGGCATCGGTACCTGGACTGACGTGACGGTAGTTCGTCCATGGCGATGTTCCCGTCAGATCGGCTCCCGGCTTTATTCGGGGTTCCCCGTGGCGGGATGAAGGTGTCTGATGGTGGTGACGTTTGTCTACGCTCCCTGGCGTAACAGCAGGCAGCTTCCTTCTTGCGAGACTGAAGAAGGTGACGTTCTCGATTACGATAGATTGTCTTCCTCGGCGTAGCGGTGCCTCGATTTGTCGCCTGAAAATACCGTACCATAGAAATTAGCCTAACCTTATTAACTTATATTATCGAGACACTGAAGTTCTTGACCGGTAATATATGTAAGGCAATATTAGACAACGACAACACGTTCCGCACGATAAACACGAAAGTCAATAATTTAGAATCTTGTGACGTGAAATAACGTCACAGTATATATTTACTTTACATACTGTAAGTATATGAAACTGTATGATGGAACTTACAAAGAAAAGCGGAAGTTGCAGCTGAAAAACATGAAGGATCGGGTCTGTAACCCTCTGACCTTTTGGACAGGCAGTCATCAGGTTGCCAGGAGGAAAACGAATTTCACGGCTGGCGATCCATCTTGGAAAATAAGTTCGCGATACGACCACGATGGATCTTCATGACAGAAGTGTTCAGGATAGTAAAGGAGATAGAGAGAGAGAGCATGTTGGAAGAGGGAGAGAGAAAAGGAGGGAATATGGTAGATCTGGTGAGAACGTGAGCTATGACTTCGGTAAACGATACAATTAAATGAACTGGCGGCTCTTTAGCAGAGTTTACTAGCTGGTCAATCTATCAACGCCTGTTCCGACGATCGATCGGAGTACCGGAAACGGAAGCTAGTTGTGGGCGGGCAACTAGCTAACCACTTAGCAATATTTTACGCGGATGAGAAACGTCCAAGTTGCTTCTGTGGATAACATACGTACGTAAGTGGAAATTGGCCAGGCTTTTTTATCTCCTGGATATATCTGTGTGCAGACAGGATGTTTGATTTTTACTCATTTCCGGAAACGATTTGCAGTACGACGGCGTTCCCAAACGAGATCGTTAGGAACGATCCCGGTTTACTTAACGACTCCTTCCTCCTCTTTGGCTGCTGGAATTTCTAATGTATCTTTCGCTCCTCTCGGACGAAGATACGGAAACGCACTGTATAACCGAATGCATAGTCGATTGCAGCAAAATCCAATGCATTGTTTATTGCTCGATTCAAACTTTCTCGATTTCATCTTCTCGTGCCCTCCTCCGTTTTTGTTCTCTCCGGTCTGTGGTGACACCTATGGCAATTCTCATCTTGGCAAGTTGTCGACCAAGGTTATTTTCCAACTTTGGAAGGAATAACTAGTCCATGCGAATCGTTTCTTCTTCGCATGCTGATCATAAGACAACTTTCTACTCCCTGGAATTGGACGATCTAAATGCTAATATTGCAGAAAAGGGAATCCATGGAGAAAGAGGGAGATAGAGCGAGAGAGATAGCTCCTCAATCAAATTCAAAGTCCATTTAAATTGCTATTCTTGAAATGCATAATTACTCGTTCTATCATTTTATAATGCACCTTAATTACAGGATAGCCTTAGGGTGATTATGAGAAACGATCGAATTTATTACAGCTAGTTTTAGCAGCGATAACAAAGAATCAATGTTGCCCTCGAATGAATCAACCTGTAACTATATAAAACAGGTCTACCTATCACGATCGGTTTTTTCCAAGTGAAACAATATCAATTCCACTTCGATAAACCTCCAATTCCATTTACCGGGTTACAGTTATCAATTCTCTAGGTGTATCGGAGTTGCCGCGAAGAGGAGTATCGCTATAATATTCTTGACAATCATGAACAAAGCAAGCAGTTATTGCGAACTGCCTTTAGATATAGTCTGTATATCCACCGAATGTGAATATACGTATACACATAGTCAATTGTCATAATACCTTGTGGGAGTATAAAACCTGAGTCCCGTGAGTTTTGACCGACTAGCACTTTCGTATTGCACCGATGTAACCAGCGCGAAGAGATATCCTGCTAAGAAAATCCAACTAAAAATACGAAATCGCGATTGATTTAAAAATCGAGTAGATCTATATAAAGATTATTAATTTGAATTGGCAAGACGCACGTCTCACGCGTTTTACAATTCCTGTTAAAACTTTTACTGCGCGAGGCATGCAAGGATTAATAAAAATTTTATTGTCGAGTGACATTTTATGCTCGATCTAAATTTTTTTTTTCTAGGAAAGCTCATAATCAAACTGACATCATACGGTAGATCTGTCGTTTCCCGAGAAGGTTTACGTCTCCAACGATTCCAATGTATATAAGCACAACTTTATTACACCATAGATATCCGCGTTCTATTCTCTTCGAATCTAGAAACTACCTCCTTTCTCATCGTAAACCCTCGTGCAATATCCAGCGATAACGAGAACCGATCGGAAGTCCCACCGCAACCCAA